TTTCTGGGAAGAAGTTGTCCCTAATATCCAATCTAAACCTCCCCTGGCACAACTTGAGGCCGTTTCCTCTTGTCCTGTCCCTTGGGAGAAGAGACCAACCCCCCTCTCTGCACCCGCCTGTCAGGGAGGTGTAAGGACTGATGTCTCCCCTCAGCCTCCTCTTCTCCAGGTTGAACCCCCCCAGCTCCCTCAGCCGCTCCTCACAGGATTTGTGCTCCAGACCCTTCCCCAGCTCAGTTCCCTTCTCTGGACATGCTCCAGCCCCTCAGTGTCTGTCTGGGAGTGAGGGGCCCAAATCTGACCCCAGGATTCGAGCTGTGAATTACTCTGTGTGTGTGTGAAGAGGACAAGGCAGCCAGTCCAATAAACTCCATCAGAGCTTCCCATGCACACCTTCTGATGTACAACACAAGCACAACTTCTGAGCTGCAGCCAGACCCAAAAGCCCAAGAAATCCTCAGAGGGATTCCTCATGGGTCCCCTCTCCCACTCACGCCCTGGAGCACTCCGTCCCAAACCCCACACCCTGAACTGAGCCAGGCCAGGAGGATAGCCTATGCCTGACCACAGTATCACACTGTTTTGGAGGTGTCTCTGCTATTTTCTTCCTAAGCTGTTGCCTGCAGCTTTGGTGCTGCCAAGTTGCTTGACAAACATTGAACACAGAATGGTTTGGGTTGGAAGGGACCTTAAAGACCATCCAGTCCCACCCCCTGCCATGGGCAGGGACACCTTCCACTAGACCAGGTTGCTCCAAGCCTCGTCCAGCCTGGCCTTGAACACATGAAGAATAAGAATTACTTACGTTGCTTGAAAACATCCAAGGATCTCTTCAGCGTGCTGGAAAACAGGAAGAGCATTAAAAGGAGTGGGAAAGCATGGGCTGGTGCAGGCATCAGCAGAGCACCCTTGCCAAACCACATAGCAAGTCCCTCACACAACACCAGCCAAAGCAGCTCAAAGCAGGTTTATTTACCCTCTTTACACCTCCAGCTTTTTCCATCTTGGTGAGTATAACACCGCTCACTTGGTTTGAGATCTACTTTACATATTTCTGAACATTAGGTGCCGTTAAACATCCTGACTTTCATGGGAAACATTTCAGGCCACCTCCTAAAAGCATCATTTGGCACAAACACCTTCTACATAGTGCATTGGCCAGTGGTTGGAGATGTAAGGAACTTTTCTCCCTGTTAATATAGTATAATAAAGATTTCAGAAACATTTTGTGTGATGCCTCATCATAAAACTGTAAAATATTATTAGAGAATATCAGACAGAACATTGTGCTGGGTTCAGTCAGGGAA